AGATAATATTGCGCTATAGGGTCATATCTAAAAATCCGTGAATTTTTTATACTTATTATATTTTACCTTTGTGAAGAAACTCGCTAGAAATCTTGAATTACTTAATCTATTATCGTTGTTTATATTAAAAATGTATGATGTAATAATGATTCTAATTAAAGCGAAGAGTTTCGAACAACACTTCAAGAAGCTCTCGCTAGACAGTTGGATTAAGGGCCCGATTTAAAAGGCGGTAATTTTTGAGACCGCACGAATAGTGAGGAGGGTCCTGTCTCTGCAGCCCTGACCACTGGTTGCTTGAGTCATCGGATTCCGCAGTCGGTGCACTTCTATTTTTCTATATAAAATGTTTTATTTTTTATTTTAAAAAATCAGGTAACAAGTATTATATATTAAAATAAGACATTAAAGATATGAGAACATTCAAATAACAATGTAAATAGTGATGATATTTGAAGATGTTTAGCTCTCGTAAATTACATTTTAAACTAAAATATTCTGTCAGAACAAGTGTACGTATTGTTTTTGCTTCAATTGTTTATTCAAGTGCTCTATAAATGTAAAATACATTAACATGCTAATTAATTTATTTCGATGCGATGAGAAAACAGTTGGAGCATTAATATGGGTTGGTTTTAAAACTTTCATTGTACTAAGATATGAGTTGTGAGTTATGAGTTGTGTGGATTAAATTTTTGCTCCCGGAAATATGAAGAGGTTTAAAACATCTTTGACGTGATATTTGTTAACTAGTGTTGTTCCGTGCACGGTTCGACGCGCTTTTAGCTTTGAACCATCCAATCACTTTTGTTGAGACAAGACGAGGCGGCCTATTTGCTAAGGTTAATGGAACGTGAGAGTTTGTCGCAATACGCGACCGACCATCTCGATTGTCGCATCGTGTGTGGCGATGATTAACTTTTGTCCCATAATCTCTGAGCCACTTTGACTTTGTGGAAGATGTTCTATATTTTATATATCTATATCTCATTATTGATACTATACGATGTAATTATAATTACGACTAGCTGTTGCTCGCGACTTCGCCCGTGGAAAATACAAATATAAAAAAAACGTAGCTTCTTAATGGTAAAAGAAAATTTAATTCGGCAGTAGTTTTTAAGTTATTTCACAAATCTTTTCTATTTATAATATAAGTATAGATGATCGTCGTGTCTAATTTAGAATTTTAATTATTGTTGCTAAAAATTTTGAACTTTTACGCGATTTTATTTACAAAATAAATAAATTACAGCTCTGTAAATTTAATTCATAAACCAATAAACATTTTGCTTTTAGTAATTAAATGTAATTCAATTCAAATTAATACATCATCAATGAATATTCAAATATGCTGCAAATGCCGTAAATAATGAGGGCGCTTGAATTAATGCGATAGTTGTAAAGGACTAGTTTAGTCAAGGTTTGCATTCACTTAGCTTCGCTTAAGGACCTAAGTTAGAAACATTGCGTCACGGAACACTTAAGTATTTCAAGTAACTGGGAGAACATTTGA